AGCTATTAATATCCTTTTCACATAAAAAATAAATTTTGAGAAAAATTCCCTTGCTATATTTCTTCCATTGTTTTCCATGGCATACAGTGTAATATAGTTTATAAAGTGAATGCACAGACACTAAACATGTCTGTATTTAACATGTTTAATATGCATTAAACATGTCTGTGAACAGATACTAAATTTCATATTTAATGCTCTACTATAGAAAACACACTGTTTCACAGAGAAATTAACCTAGACTGTTTCCATGTAAACTTCCATGGAATGATTGATGTTGTTATTCAAAATAAAATGAAGAGTTCGTATATTTTCCTGGTTAATATAGTCTCAAATATTTATACTGAAAGTGAGCTCTTTATACCACTTCTAGCTTCTGTTCCTGCTAGGGTTATCTGGATTTATAGTAATCACTATGAGAAAAAAAGAAATACATATTAAATATCCAGGTAAGTGTTTAGGCACATAGATATCTGTAACTATAAACATGTTTGGAAGCTTCTGTCCCCAGTGCACACACATTCTCTCTCTCTCTGATATTATGTTAATAATTACATTAATGTATTATAACAGTAATTACAGGAAATGTATATATATATGTGTGTGTGTGTGTGTGTGTGTGTATGGCCAAGCATATCTATAAAGCTAAACATAGTTATAAAGCTAAATATATATATTCATATATATACTTTATATGTGTATATAAACCATATATGTATATGTGTGTGTGTGCATATATACATATATAGATAGATTTACTTGACAGATATCCTCAATCATGCCTCAGTATTCAGGGATAATCCAACAGAAAATTACTGAAAACAACTCATATTTTTGAGACCAAGAAATAATCTAAAATTGTCCAAATTAAAATGGGAGCATTTCTTTGCTTGTTTGCTTGTTTGTTTTAACACGGAATCACCTCTGGCAGCCGTGTTTTTGCTATATTTCAAATTCTATAGATATGATAACATCAGTGTAGTTATCTGTGTTGACTTATTTCCTTTATTCTTTGTAGGGGGACTGGACATATCTCTCCATATATAAGCCAGTCTAAACAAAAGTTTTAACAGATCATGCTTAATAATGACAGAGTTGGAGCCATCGTTATGTGCAGACTGAAGGATCATCTCTGTCTGTAGATGGGATTACTTTGATATTAGCTTATTTTTAAATCTCCCTGAGATTTACCAACTTTCCCAAAAGAACCAGTCCTCTCTCTGGCTCAACCAGAAGATAAACATACAGCTCTTCTCTCAATGACTACATTGCCATTACTATCCATGTGACATGAGGGGAAAGAGACCCGGATATTGAGAAGTGGAGCATGACTTTTTCTATATCTCACTTAAGTAGGTCCCTTTCTGAAATATTTCCATCTTATCAGAAATATCTGAAAAGAGGGGTTGCTATGGGTTTTTTTAATTTTTTTTTTTTTTAGGGATGAAAGGAACCTGGTTCAACGAGGACCTACATCAGGTGAAGTCTCTGGAAACAGAGTACAATTTAGAAATGCACCTGAGGAAGGGATTAGAATAGACATCCTAGAAACTTAGGCTGGCAGATTTATGGTAGATTAACAGCCTTAATATTTTTGGTTCCTCCAGTAAAGATCACGAAAAATATTGCTAAATCGCTAAAACACCTTTGCAATAACCTAAGTGCTTACAGCTTTATTCCAGTGTGTCTCAGTTACTAAACTGGAGCAAAAGCATTTCTCTTGTGTAGAAAAATTGGATGACTCTGGCTTTACAGCAGATTTGCAATTATTAATATTTATGCCAATAATAGCTCAACAGCACATCTATTAATATATATGAAGAAATAATGCACATAGACAGATGTGTAAAACTGGAAAACAAACATATAATAAAAGAGATACATCTATTGAACAGATAATATATACATGCACATCAAATAAAGCAACAGCTGTAGTGACCATGATATTTATTTCTCATTTTAAAATTGGCTACATTATTGACAACCTGGAACGGCAATGGACAATACGGCTAGAGGGAAAGTCTCAATCAGAGTCTAAAAATAAAGACTATGTACAAAGTGTATTTTTTTCTGCTTTTGTAATCTTAAATTGCAAAAATTTACACACTTAAGTAGCCATCTGTTTTCTTCAAGTAGAACTCATTCTCTTTTCTCTTTTTCTTACCCTGAAGACAGCTGTCAGCCAGGAGGGCAGAGCTGAAATTTGTTGCTCACATCACATGAAGCATGGGACAGACTTCACTATTCCTTCAGACTCAAGGGGGTGCCAGACTGGGGCACCTGGGTGGCTCAGTTGGTTTAGCGACTGCCTTCGGCTCAGGTCATGATCCTGGAGTCCTGGAATCAAGTCCCATATCGGGCTCCCTATTTAGCAGGGAGTCTGCTTCTCCCTCTGACCCTCCCCCCCTCTTGTGCTCTCTCTCTCTTCATTCTCTCTCTCTCAAATAAATAAATAAAATCTTTAAAAAAAGGGGGGGCTGCTTCTCCCTCTGACCCTCCCCCCCTCTTGTGCTCTCTCTCTCTTCATTCTCTCTCTCTCAAATAAATAAATAAAATCTTTAAAAAAAGGGGGGGCTGCCGGGCTGGCTCAAAACTTTTCCTCTTACAAGGTTGCCTTTGTTTTGCCTGGTTGATCATCACCCTCTCCTTTTTCCTTTTTTGTGCTTTTCCTTTTTCCTTTTTCTGATAATCCATTTTGCAGGTGACTAGGTTCTGTGTTAGTTAAGATAATTCTCTCAAGTAATAATTCACTGCTAGTAATTGACAATTAGTCACTATCTGCGTGTTTGAAAGGTAGCCATCATTTTGAATTTTAAAACCACGTGTTAATTTTTTGGCCTCTGTTTCAATGTTTTTTTCGTTTTTTGTCTTTGGAGTTTTTTTGGTTTGGGTTTTGGGTGTGTGTGTGTGTGTGTTTGTAATTGTCAATTCTGTTTTTTTTTCTGAGGCATGCAACAGTTCTCTCATGCATTTTTAAGCTGAGCTAAAATCTGTACACAGTTAAATATACAAATATTAAGTGTATGATTTGATAAGTTCTGACAAGTGTACATTCCTGTGCAAACAACGCCTCAATAGAGACAGCTCAAATGTCCTTAGAATCATCTAAGGACATTTTTGTGTGTGTGTGCCCTGTTCTAGTCAGTATTTGCACACCATAAACAAAGACTATTGTGATTTCTGTCACCTTAAATTTATTTTGCCTGGGGCTTTAGCATTTCATATAAATGGGATCATATGGTGTGCATGTATTTTTTTGTGTCTGGTTTCTTTCTCAATCAGCATGTCATAATTAAAATTCATCCATGTCACATCATAGTTCATGGGCACCAGCTAGCTAACTAAGAAAGATGGTTTGTAGAGTTCCAGCCTTAGCATAACAAACTTGAACATAGAAAGCTAAGCTTGAAGCAGATTCCCAATAGTTTAATAAATGGCACAGCAAAAAGGTAAGTATGAAGGCTATTATAATCATTGATAGTGCATGGTCAAGAATGAAAAGAAGGTAAGAGAAAAAAGAGCATGGATTAAATAAATACAAAACAATTTTTGACTTCAAAATAGTTGTGGTAGACTGAGACCAGAAGCTAGCTTAAATAAGCAAACAACTAACTAACTAGCGTGGAAACATGGAGATATTGATACCGAAATTTGGAAGCTATTCTTATTAACTACAGTTGTTCAACTATGATTTGACTTAGATTGGGAAAAGTGATTATGGGCTTACCCATACTTTACTAGCAGGAAATTGAGTAGACTTACCAGCAGAAACATGGAAAGAAATTTCGTTTATTTTCTAACTTTAAAGTCTGACCCAGAGACCCAGATCCCCACTAACTGGAAAACCAGATAGTTACCATTATGCTGTACAGTTGATACAGTTTGAAGAGGGTTTTTTGTATTCTTGCCCATAGTTTTATAGCCATTTGGGAATTGCAGTGCTAAGAAATCAATGCAACATGGAGTCGGAAAGACTGAAAGTGGTAAAGAAGGATACAACATTGCAACCTAGAAGCACTTTCATCCAAAATAAAGCACCTTCAGCTGGGTGGAAATGAGAACATTCCTGGCAATATTACATTCTCAGCATTCTGCTATCCCTTATTTTCGATTATCAGAAAACCAAGCAATGGTCTTAGAGCTTAGTATAGGAAACCTATGTTCTATGGAGGTGGTTGGCTTATGGGAATAGGGCAGAACACTGTATTTTGTAAATCAACTTTTAGGTCTAGATATGAGGAGGGGATTTAACTAGTGCTTCTATGAAAAGTGTGCCGAGATAAGGCACATTTTCATATCTCGATTAATGAAATGATGCACCTGAATAAATTTCTACTTGGTCAATCTATAATAAAGAAATTAAAGAAAAAAGGGTGAAAGTTCCTTTGAAATTCTAGGTTAAGTGAAGTAAAGAAAGCACTATCAGGAAGATGCAAGAGAAGAGCAAATATATGAAAATTACCTATTGCAGAAACCCAAAGAAAATTAGGATATTTTTGTCACAGAAAAAAGTGACATTTATAAAAGAAGAACATAGGCTAGTAGGCACAAAATAGGTAGCTTGCCTAAGTTTAAGAACTTTTGGTTGTAAGAAATAGAAATCCACTTCCACCAAGATTAAGGTGGGAAAAACACATGGGAGATTTTGTGAAAGGATCCAGGCTGTGCCAGGGAATTCAAGGGTAGCAAGCCCTCAAAGGGTCTCTGTCTAGGCAATGGGAAGTATTTGGGAACCTCTAGCATGATGGTCATTCGGTTTGTCTTTCAGTCATATGCCTTTACATTTGCTTCACTTTTCTCTCCACAGAGGAGTTGCCCATGCAACACAGGCTTAAAAATGTTCTGACCAAAACAACTTGGAGCCCTGGAGCAAATATCATTCACCAGATATTGCTTGTTCTCTATCAGGCCTTTATATTTCTACCTCTCTCAGTCATCAGATACGGACTGCCCCAGCATGTGACCTTCAGGCAGGCAGCTCTCTATGGCTGAGATGAGGGATGAAGGAGATGAGCCGCAAGTGCTTTCTTGAAGGGGAATCTGGATGGAGCATCTCTGTGACTACCACAGTCCACCCCCTGTGCCTCTTGGATCTATGTCTCCATACACTTTCGGTGATCAGCTCCTCCATGAATCCATGGGGCTCTTTTCTAGAAGGGAGACAGAAGAGAGAGGTTAGCTGGACGAACTACAGGCTCAATACTATAGCTATTCTCTGGATCCAGCTGACACTCATAGATTCTTTCCTCCACTATCAGTCTCTTGCTCCTTCATCCTCAGGTACTACTTCTACTGGCTTCCAGGATGACTTAGTAATTGGGTCCATACCCCCAATTTCTGAGAGTTTGACCTCCTTATCATCATGACTTCTCAAGTTGCTGTATTTGTCTTTTTATAGTCACCATTGGTCAAGGAATCACCAAGAGGCACCTAACTGGACTACCTGGCTTCTATACATAGTTTTAACTTCTCTTACCTTTTTATGAGGATCAGGATAAATTACCACTGCTGAGATGGTGACTTTACTTCTTATGGACTTGTCTCTTATTGACTTGTCTGGGCACTTTGTGCCCAAAATGCCCAGGGGACAACTATAGGTTATAGGTAAGTGGGACACCTACTGTTTGTCCTGGCAAAAACATTAATCTTTTAGAAACCTAAAGACCCTGGGATGCCTGGGTGGCTCAGTCGTTAAATATCTGCCTTCGGCTCAGGTCATGATCCCAGGGTCCTGGGATCGAGCCCTGCATTGGGCTCCCTGCTCCGCAGGAAGCCTGCTTCTCCCTCTCCCACTCCCCCTGCTTGTGTTCCCTCTCTTGTTTTGTCTCTCTCTGTCAAATAAATAAATAAAATCTTAAAAAAAAGAAAGAAAGAAACCTAAAGCTCCTATTCCAAAGAGCCCAGTGTTGCAGAGAAAAGAAGTATAAAGTCCCTTAGTGGGTCACTGGAATAATGTCCCCTGAGAATCCTCCTGATTCCTGCCCTTGTATTACAGAACCATGTATTCTATCTATTGGAACACAGAGACATATAAAGGTTTTTGAATTAGTGCATATCCTGCCTCCTGGGTGATGACATCCCATTTTCAAAGAATATTGCCTCCAGACTGCTGACTTACATATGTATCAGCCATTGTTTCAATTGCATATCAGGTCAGTAGATCCTGACTGGTATAGAATATAATCTGATCAGTGGATCCCATGGTCATGTGTCTACTCATGTGCTTAAATGTGTGTCTCTCGGTTCCAGAGAATATTAAGTGGGGTCCAACCAAACGGATTAAACACTCTGCAAACCCTCAAATAGTGGTACTTGTTGAGGTCTTGAGGCCAAGAAAGGCAAACTCATATCCAGAATATGTATCTGATTCTGTGAGACCAAACTGGTGACCATATTGTTATGGAAAGAACCTAACATAGGTATCTTGCCAGTGAGTGACGGGATTGTCTCCTAGAATAGTGCCACACTGGGTCCTCAGCAATGATCTTTATTTCTAGCAGGCTAGATTTGACAATGGCAGTAACTAGATCAATCTTAATGAGTGTCCATTCTGTTGGACCCATACATATTCTCCACTTCTGCCATAGTGACCACTTCTTTCTTGTGCCTATTGTTAGTGCTGGATGGTCAATGGCAGAAGCAGTTAGATATTAATCTACCCATTGATTTTATCCTCTTGTTGGTTAATTTAACATCTGTCATAGAATATCCTCGGGTGGTTGTTAACATGTAATAGAGAGATCTTCACACTGTGTGTCCACTCCAATGTGTCATCTTCATGCCTCTCCCCCTGAATTCCTTGCTTCTTCCAATCTTTTTCTTTCCAGGCCCTTGACCAACTGACCAAGCCATTTGCACCTGCCATATGACCATATATTTGATAAACCTGAGTTCCCTTTATTGTACATAAAGTAGACTATGTGATGTTGTTCCTGAAATTGACCATTGGGAGCATTTTTACTAAACTGTATCTTTGAAGATCACCCTTGAAAGAAACATAATGCAGTCACCATCCATTTTGAATTTTTAATCACATAGAAATCCAGGCCATCTATAACCAAATGGAGTGTTTTTTTTTCCTGTTTTCCTAAAATGGCCTTAAGGAATGATCTATGTTGAGGCATGAGTTGAAAGAAAGCACTGATGTAACAGTGTTGAATGTCACGGAGTTCTGGTCTACCTGCTTGTGCATCTTGCTTTTGCCTTATAGTCATACTCGAGAGCTCAGTTGCAAATGTACCATTTCTTTCTTAAAATGGATGGTGCTGGGTCCATCTAACCTAATGACTTGGTAAATCTAATAGAATCTAGCTAATCATGGACTGTTCTGTTCTTATGGTCATGTAGTATTACATGGCCAAGTATTCATTCTCTCTAAGTCCAGGATCTGTTTTTCACAAAGTTCATAATTCCCTACTGCTGACAACACCATCTTGTTCCAGAACTCCAAGGGCCTGTGTTATGATTTCCCACTGAGTGTTAATACAACCTCTACATTTCCATTGACACCTTCTATAGTACAGGGTCTTTTGGATCATATGGGCCACATGATAAGGCTGTTTCCTCTGAAGCCTAGGCCTGCTGCAGACCCTTGTCCTTCTCTGAATCCTACTTAAAGCTGGCAAAATCAAAAGTGTATGAACCATAACAAAATTCACAGGTATGGAACATGTTGCCACCAGAAACCCCAAAACCTAACAGACATTATACTTCCTTCTTAATGGTAGGACTATAAGGTGTGCTTACTTTTCTTTTATATTTGAGAGGGTGCCCTTGATGACTATTTCCCTAAATATTTTACTTATATGGTAGGCCACTGAGTATTCATAGTGCTTTTCTCATAATCTATGGAGCACATGTGTCCTACTAATCCCATTGGTGGATTAGCCACATCTAGTTCATCCAACCAAGCAATAAACATGACTTCAGCGATATAAAGGATCAATGTGATATTATGCAAGATTTCCAACTGGTCTAGGACAGAGAATACTATGACTATATGTATATTATTAGTGTTGCAGGGTGATTCTTCCTGATCACGTAAACTGACACACAGTTCAGAGTGCAAAATATTCACTAGGGAACAATACTTTTAAAAGGAAAGGAGAAGAAGTAGTATTATGAGGAGGAATAAATTGAACTGCAATATAGGCTACCACTTTGTTAAATGCTCAAGTGAATATTGCTCATGAGGTTTGTCCATCTGGGCTGATATGGCTAGGCATTTATAGTCCCACCACACTCTGTCACCAGATATGGGTTGTCCCAGGAAAATCATGACCTGGAGCAAGACAGGGTTTTTTTGTTTTTTGTTTTCTGTTTTTTGCAGTGGAGATTGACCCTGAAGAAGTCGACAGCTGGAGGCTGAGTGAAAACTGTCTTTCCTGCAGGTGAATGGTATGTTTTTTCCTGAGTACTATGTAATTGACATATTTCACTATCTATCACAGAGGGCTATATCTTTATGAAAGAAGCTGTTTGGAAATTGTGCAGACACCCCAAACCGTATTTAATATAAGAGTAAAAATGAAGACCAGATAAGATGAAATAAAAAAAGAGGATGGTAAAATAAGATAGAATTGCAAAAACTTCTTAAATAAATTAATTTAAAAAGAGAACTGACCAAGAACATTAAAATTTAGGATTTGTTGAAGTGCTTTGCCCAAATTTAGGCAAGGTCAAAAGAGATGAAGGAAAGAGATTTTCATAAATATTAAGTCAAGGAAAGAAAGAATTAATACTCCATTTTTTCCCTACATTTTAATATTCTTGAAAGAAAAACAAAGAGGCTTACAACAAATACTATAATTTAATTGGCAAGACTTCTATTTCCATAGTTAAATATAAAATAAATGGCATATTGTATCCCTGATGAGGATATGAATTGATAAAACTGGGTAAATCAAGAAAAGGAACTATCAAAAAAACAAAACAAAAAAAATGAAAGAAACAAAATTAAAAAGACTGAATTTTCAATCTGGATATAGATTGAAAGGAACCTTCACATCGAGAAAAGACCAGAACCTAGAAATTGAGTTCTATGAAGTCAAGGACTTTGTTTACTATTGTGTTCACAGCCCCAAGAATGTTGCCAGGCATATAATTGAAACAAATAAATATTTTCGATTAATTGCATAAATTCTCATATCAGTTTAATTTATTTAAAACAATTATCTATCCTTCCAAGAAGTTTAGCATATGCTTTAACAGTAGTCTGGAGCTACAATGTCTGGAATTGAAACTCTGGTGTTTTGTCATTATCATAAATACTTGTAAAGATTACTGATAACTAAATCTCTTTTCCTCCAAACCATGTGATAGGATTATATTTCTGAATCACCATATTTGTAGTCAAGGCCATGTGACAAGTTCTGTCCTGTGTTTGGCCAGTGTATGTCACTTCTGTTTGAGTCATTTAATTGCCAGAGCAAGACCATTTTGGCCTTTCCCTACAACTTTGGGCTTCAAAGCACACATTGGACCCTCAGATCAAAGTAGTTGAACTTGAAAATTGCCTTGAAAATAATGAGATTCTGCACAAGACTTTTACAAAATGTAGCCTTTTGTGGATTTTTGTCGTTGTTAGTTACCGCAACGTAATTTATTTGTATCAACTAATAAGGCATTTATACATTTAGTGACATTATATATTTATCCTTCTGTAACTCGCTTTTCTTATCTTCAAATGGTTAATGATCATACATACCTCAAAGTTTTTCAAGGATTAAATGTGCTAATCTAAGTAAAGTAGATCTGAAAGTTCCTGGCTCATATTCAGAGCTTATTAGGCAAAGGAACATTTTATAAGTACAGGAAAGTTATCCACATGGGAGGAAAATGAGATGGGCCATAATTTGAGAATATAAAGGAGTAATGTGTGTTCAGAATTAAGAAGGAAATAATCTGCTCCCTCAGTAATTTTATCACAAATGAAACTGTCTTTTACATGTGAAGGCCACAAAAATATTCTCCTATATTAGAACAGAGAAATTATAGACACTTTGAAAAACACGTTAGACAATGCAAGATGTTAATCAACAACATTAAGAACTCAAGGTTGAGAGAATTATAAAAATGGTTTATCTAGATTTCTCTCACCTGGTTTGAATCCCAGTCTAATAAATCTTGTTAGGTAGTATTTTGTAAGTATTTCAGTTGGATTCCACATCTCTGGGGTAAAACTAAGTTCTACCAGATTTTGCACCCAATTTCTTCTCCTTCCCCATCAAAGAATTAATAGAAGGGAGAGAGTAAAGATGTATTTTTGAGTGGATATCAGGCCTAAATAAAAAAAAAAGTGTTTTGATTGGAAGATTTTAAAAGCTAAGAATGTTTTATGTGTGTGGTAGGTTGAATAATGGCCTACTGAATCGTCCCTATCCATCGAGATCCCCAGAATCTGTGACTGTTACCTTATACAACAAAAGAAAGGTCACAGATGTGATCAAGTTAAAGATTTTGAGATGGGAAGATGAATGTGGGTTATCCAGGTAGGCCTGTAAGCACAGTGGTCCATGTAAATGGGGCATAGGAAGAGTTTGCCAGACCTAAGGCAACACAACTATCAAAGCAGAGGGACAGGGAATGAGGCTTGAAATATGCTGTACTTCTAGGTTTGAAAATGGAGGAAGGCCATGAGCCAAAGAATGTAGGTGGCCTCTGGAAGCTGGACGAGGCAAGGAAATGGAGTCTCCCTAAACCACAATCCTGGTGACCCATTTTAGACTTCTAACCTCCAGAATGCATAGGTGTTGTTTAACTTGTTACGGTAGTAACCAGAAACAAATACGTGTTATTTTGAAAGATGATTTTTATGAAGATCATTGTGTCTTTTTTATTTATTTATTTATTTATTTATTTATTTATTTTTTAAGATTTATTTATTTTGAGAGAGTGAGAATGAGAGAGAGAGAGAGAGAGAGAGAGCACATGAGAGGGGGGAGGGCCAGAGGGAGAAGCAGGGTCCTCGCTGAGCAGGGAGCCCGATACAGGACTCGATCCCGGGTCTTCAGGATCATGACCTGAGCCAAAGGCAGTCACTTAACCAACTGAGCCACCCAGGCGCCCCTGTGTCTTTTTTTTTAGATAGTTGGGTTTTGAGCTTGTTGGTTATCAATATCTTGCGTCATTGAAATATTTTGAATATTTTATTGTCAGTAATATAAGTAGTGTGATATACTTGCCATTTTTACATTTAGTTCCTAAACTTATTTGTTTTCTCACTTTCATGAGCAAAAATAATCGTACACAGTTAACATTTTATATTTCTTTGAATTACATGCCTGTGTGACTATATAATTTAGTCATATTCATGCAACACTAATAAATAAGCATATTTTTTTGCATATTTAATATATCAGAAATGAAATTCAGATGGAAGAGACAGAACACATGTGAATAGAATATCTAATACCTTCACTTCCTTCAGCACTTCAGTGGGCCATATTGTAAATCCCTTGGAATTCTGCTTCTTGCATTAGAAAGCACTGTATTAGATAACCAGTGCAGATCACTTCCTACTGTTTAATGATTATCTCCTTTTTCTACTGTGAGATATTAATGCCAAATGTAGTACAGATTTAGTTAGATGCTATGGGGTATGATACTGAATAAGCAATGTGACTAAGCCTCATTGTGTATTCCCAAGCTGACTCTTAATACTCTATTTTCATGTCTCTTGAGCAGTATAGCTTATTAAAACTGTCTGTTTCTGCAATGTTTCAGTGAAAGGTATTATGATGCAATGCATTTTCTTTCTCAATTTGTAAAGGTGATGAACTAAAATTATATGATCATTTGGCTAATGACATTAATTTATCTGTGTGAATATATATTTTTGAAAAATCACATGCTGTTATGGCAGGAAATAAGATTAACTTTCTCACATTTGTAAAATCAGATAATATACATGCCACAACTAAAAAGACATTTTGTTGAATGAGTCTATTTTAATCTCAGTATGATGATGCCAGTCTTGAGGTTTTTCATACTAGAGTGAAATGTAGAACAGAGCCTTTCTATTTCTAAAAATCCTGGGCTTCTTTCAAAGTTTCTGGCCTTCAGACACCCTAAGTGACCTAACCAATCATTACAACGGGCCTTAATTTACGTGAAAGAGGAAAAACAACACATAGTTGCTGCCATTAATGAAATGGCTCCAACTGTCTGCCAATACTAAATAATTTAAGTGCAAAATGACTTAAAAAGGACTGAGGTGTTTTGAAATTTAAAACATCTGCTAAAACTTGCTTTTCACAAATGACCCTAGTAACCTCCTGTAGTATAACCAAATTCCTGGCAGTAATATTAAGGTCATTAATAACAAAGACAGAAATAATAGGCAATCCCTATTAATGCATCTTTGCCTTCAACCTTAAACTTGATTTTTTTCCTTAAAATGAGTTATTTTGCTACCTTGTGTTACAATTATGTCTACAGACTATTATAGGTTCCATCTTGCAATCAATACCCAGAAATCATCTCTCTTGCATAAGATTCACGTGGACATTGATAATTACAAAATATTACATCTGATACAAAGAGTAGGACTGTCTGAAAATGATCCTGAAACTTTGCCTTTGGCTGCAAGGAAAATGATCCAAGGAGATCTGGAGGGAAATGGCACCACCATGGTGCTCTGGTAAACTTACATGTGTCTACCCAGGGAATCAGGGCAAAAGCTTGAAGCATTTGTCTGAATCTTGGCAGATTTCCTTGTGGTCTCCTCTGAACAGGAGAAGATGGGAGGCTTGGGAGGCATTGCCTCAGGGCTATCTCTCACTTGCCCCCTTTTTCCCCTGTGAGGCCGTATTGAGACAGTTTTTTATTGTCTCCAATGTTCTGAAGAGGTGTCTCCACTCTGTTCAGGATATAGCTACAGACTGTGGAACCAATGAGCTGCAGGTGGAAATTAATTTTCAGTGGATTTTCCCACAACTGGCACTGCAGCCATTTGGTGCTTTTTATTTCAGTGTCATCCCTTTTGGTAAGTGGGTTATGGATATAACCACCTTTGGCTATTTCTTCCTTTCACTGTATATATTAAGTAATAAACTGTCTGAATCTTAAAGTGGCTGTTGTATCTTTACTGGCTGAACTGTCAGACGTGGCCTTGTCTTTGCTTACTGTGGCCTCGCCTTCACAAGATCATGACCATCATTCTTCTAACAGAAATGACTGCAATGACATTTGGCTCCTGCAGAACTGAGAGGGATTCAACTTTCAACACGTCCTTATTTTCAGACAACTCTTGAAAACAAGTGCAAACCAATCCAGACTGCCTGGCATCCAAATCTGTAACTCATGTGTGTTCCTCCATGGATCAGGCTCCTTACTCTGAAAGAGTCTTTTCACTAGTGTAAACCCATCTTGTGTGCCTGGTGGACCCCACAATCACCAGCATGGCCCTCTGAGGGACGATGAGAAGATGGGAGAAATATGCCTGTTCTCCCTTTGTTGAGTCTTGGCTTCTAAAATTGTCCTTTCTCTAAGTCCATTCTATTGAAGGTATGAAAATTTTCCTGACACCTAAGGTATGAGAGGTAGTGCCCCTGATGAGATATACATCTTAGAACCCTAATATTTAAGGAAATAAGCTGTTATGGGCTGAATTGTGTCCTTCCAAAATTCATATGTTGAAACTCTAAACTTTAGTACCTCAAAATGTGACTGTATTTGGAGATAGGGCCTTTAAAGAGGTAGTTAAGGAGAAATGAAGTCATATGGGTGGCCCTAATCCAACTGACTGGTGTTCATATAAAAAAGAAGGAATTTGGACATATAAGGAGACACCAGAGATGTATATGCACAAAGGACCAGCATGTGAATAGGCAGCAAAAGGGCAGCCATCTGAAAACTAAAAAGGAAGCCTCAGAAGGAATCAAACCTGCTGACACATTGATATTGAAATTCTAGCCCTCAGAACCATGAGAAAATAAATTTTTGTTTTTTAGGCCACCCATTCTGTTGTATTTTGTTATGGTGGCCCAATACACATGCTAAATAGGAAAGAATGATGGAGCTGAAATTATGAATGTACTGACATGAGAAAAGTCATTTATAGAAATTTTTTATGTAATAATTACCAGCTTCCATTTGCTTTTGAACTTAGAAAACCCAACTCACATAGAGAAGGACACCTCAGGAGCTAGAGATGTCATGCCTCATCATGCTGATACTTTCTTAGGTTAGAGAGTTTCTGCTCTAGTCGAAACTATTGACTCTGGCCACACCACAGCAGCCCTTGAAACTAAAACATGCCATGTTTTCAACTTTCTGGTCCATCTGAAATCTGACAAGGGTGGGCTTTTTGATACAAAACAATAAAATAATAACTGATTCTCAAGATATTCAGAGTATCTTCCATGTTCCTTACCATCCATAGACATCTGGTATTTTTGAGCATTCTTCAAAAACTGGTGTAAAAAGTTTCTGACTACTACCTTTATCTCTTCTTTGGTCACACATTTTAGTAAGGGAGTTTTGTCATTGAATGTGACTATAACCAGAAAGGGATAATCCACTCTCAGTTGCTTCCTGGGTACTGATTAGGATGAACAAGTTGGGAGTTATATACACCCATGTCAGGTTTCTTCCCCCACCATTCTTGGGAATGATGCTTCATTCTTTTCCCTAAAGGCAATACCAGGTCAGCCTGATTAGTATATACTTTGAGTGGCAGCTTGGACAAAAGGTTCAGTTACCTGGATTCTATGTTAAATCAGCATAGTCCTAGATCATAAAGATAAAGACCACATGATTGAATATACTACCGTGTGCCTTGCCCACTGATTTTGTCCATGATTTGATCACTACACTCCTTTACCTTATAGATAAGTTTATGGAAAGCAGTAGAGGATGGCTCTTGATCTTGCATCTTCCAAGGAAAACACCTGTTAACACAGTTGTACTATCTTCTCCACGCCGGTTTCTATGGCTGTCACCCAGTCATTTCACATGGACAGGAAGGCTCTCTGGCTGATAGTGTAGACAAATAGTATAAATTGAACTTAACGCCCTCAAGAGGCTCTCCAGAAACAAGGACTAATCCAATCTATTCAAACTAAACTGGGAATTTCTGGACTATAATTCTTGAGGGGAAGCCAAGTATTTACCTGCCTCCTTTCCAAAAACATAGCTGACTTGTGCATCAAATGTTTAAGGAAATACTCCTTCTGCCCTGGAAGACTTCAGGCTATCTTCAACTCACTGGCCTGTTTTGGATGTTGATATGCCCTAGAATTCTTTCTTGTAGGCAAAGATGGGGTCTGTGTAATTGGGACTACAGCCAGGTACTACACTCTGTGGCACTGGATTAATGCCTCCGGCCATGTGGAATAGCCAGTTCAGAAACCTGAGGAGAGCAGCTCATGGCTTCCTAAGGTATATCCTGATTTGTTCAGCTGGTTAAGACCAAGATGCTAGGGCGTGTTTGAAATATGAAGGCAGGCCTCATCCTGCTCCTTGGAGTCATGTCAATAACACTCTAAGGCAAATGCTGAAAAAGAAAAATTAAACAGATTTGATCCCAGCCACTCAGTATCAGATTGACCACGGTAGTCAAAGGAGAGGTGTACTTATAAGGAAATTTCCCAGAAATCAAGATTATAAAAAATGACGGTCAGATATTGTTGGGAGACAATCCCCAATGGATGTCTTTTATTTCTGCCTATCTTGGTGTAGATTCTTTTCAGTGATGTTTGCACAGCAAAGAGACTTGGGAGCTAGAAATAATATCTCCCTTCAAAACAAAGGGCAGATTTGTTAACTGTCCAGTACAGTAAAATAATGTCCATATCTGGAGCAAAGGAGAGTCATGCTTAGGGCCTATAATAGAAGATGTGTTTTCCTAAGCTCACAGTTTCTTTCCTGTTAACTCATGTGCAAGCTTCACCTGGCCATCTTTGCCATGCCCCGGGGCAGTTGGAACCTGAGGAACTTGCTCACGAAAATGCTGGTATTCTGGCTATTGAAATTGCTGTGTCTAATAGTTATTTGATCCTCACCTGGGAATGTCATATCTTGCTAGCATCCATGAAACAGAGGCAGGCTAACTGTCAGCTTGCAAGAAGGAGAACACCTAGGCCTCTTCTCAGTATTTGACACTCTGAGACATGCTGCAAATATAGATAGCCCAGTTCTTATTCTTTAAAAAAAAGAAATTATTACAAAACCTATAGAGACAATATCCAGTCATTACTTAATATTATCTCAAGTAGAAGATTAAAAGAAACTTGCTTAAAACTCCCTAAGAAAATGTCTGTCTTTGGGATTTTTAAAATTCTTTCTTTGGCACTTTTATATTAAAAAAACCCATTTAATTAATTTAATGCAAAGCATGGGGAAAGGAGTCTCCCCTGTCTTTGGGAAATAAGCCTGTAAGAAATTGAGCAAAAGCACTATTGAATAATACAATAGAAAGAGTAGGAAGGAGGTCTACTGATGCAAAAGACTCTGGGAACTGGTGCGAAGGGAAAAGGCCCCCAAACCTCTATCTCTAATACAGCTTGTTCTCATAATCTGCAGGTCCACATATTGAGAGTGGTGTTCATTCTGGTTGCGTGCGTATTGCTGTGAACATGTGAAATTCACTGTTAGCCAGTTAAAGCTGCTGTCCCATGCACTTAACCACCGTCTGCTTGGACTGGAGATCCTTGCTCCAGCCCTGCTATGATGGACTGCCAATCATCCAGCCCTTAAGCTCCTCTTTACCTCCCGGCCGGCCTGCAGACCTTACTCCAGGGAATTTGCCACCCACCCTGATCAGCCACCACTGCCTGTACTCTACTAGTTATTAAATTCTTTGAATATCATGATTAATTATTAACTTAGGGATCATACTCAAATCTCAGTCAACATATCCAAAATCAATATCCTTTTCTTCCCTCCAAAACATATTTTCCTCTTTCTCTGAATTCCAATTCAGGGAGAGTCACCACTAACCCCAATCAGCCTGTTGCCCAAGAAAGTTTTTATATTTTTTCTCTCTTCTCCACATCCAAATCCATTCTACTCTACTTGTTATCCCTGTAATATACTTCTTACTTCCTCCTTATCTCCTTTATCACTGCCTATTTCCCTCTGCCAGTTTCACCCTCCTGCAATCCATCCATGCTCAAGACAGCCACTGGAACAATCTTTCTAAAATACAGTCTTACTTGGTTATTCTCATTTAAATTCTTCAATAGCTTCAGTATGAATTTTTTCCCTGCAATTTTGAAGCCTGGTCTCTGATGACCTATTTAACCCATTTCTCACCAATCCACCACTCATACTTTTGCTTCAGCCATAGCAGATTACTCGTTATTCTCTAAGGTTGTTCCATTCTCTTAATGCCTCTGTACCTTTACCACCAGGAACAATTTCTTCACCTCTTTCCTGTGTTAATTTCCACTCAACTTTAAAAAACTAGGTGAATAAATAATACCTCTTCTCACCTGTATTATGCCATTTGTATATTTCTTTCTGTATTTGTTGTTTGGTTACTTTTTCCAGCTCTTACAGTTTTTTTAGTGTTGGTTCATGACACACTGTAAGATCTCAATAAAGCCTTGTTAAATGAATACATTTATTCCTACTAAAATATCTTAAAAGTTAACTGTGGGTACTGTGTCAATTCTTAAAACTATACATGAGAGTGTCATATACCAAAAAATCCTGAAATCTTGATAAAAAGAGTAGCTATCAAGTTTTCATCATGTCATAGAGTACTCATGGTAGTAGGATAAAAATAGAATACCAATAAAAACCAAAAGATGTCCAAGCTATGGGAAAATCCAGGAAAATTAATATAATAAATATAATATAATAATATAATATAATATAATATAATATAATATATAATCCAGGAAAATATAATAATTGTGACATAGTTCCCCAGGCTCCACATCCTCTCCCCAGAATGTTCATATATAAAAGGCCCATAAAAATTAATGAAAAATTTTCACATGAAAATGAAGATGTATTCCAATAAATTATTTTCCTTAG